TCCAGTTTACTCAAGAACTTGAATGTTGTGTTTGCTGTGACTTATTGACAATTCCTTTGGTTTTTGCTACACAGGAGTGAAGATGGAAAATGTACTGATTTGTGTTTCATCCCATGTTCTTGTAGATGGTTGGATTCTTCAGGCTTTGGGTTAGAATATAACAAAAGATTTTCATATTTGGTTCCTGGATGGCTGGTACACAAATCAGATTTTTTGGTAAAATATGTCTTGCTCGAGGATGCATTAATGTAATGAGAGCAAGTAGCAAGCAGACTCGAGGATGCAATAATATTCACAGGAATGTAGACTATTATGTACAGAAATGATTGCTATATACGTAATATTCTTGATTATGCATGGAGATGCCATCTAAGTATCAACGTTTGTATCATTCATCGGTAATTAAACGCCAAATGGTTCTCTAGTAGTTCCAATACTTGGACTGCTTTGGCTTTTTGCGCCGTGGGCGCAACGGGTCATCTAGTTATATTACCAGCTAGTCAGACCGAAAGGCATTCCATTGCAATTCTGGTTAGCAGATAGTCAGGCCCAAAGGCATCCCATTACATGGATGAATAAGTATCAATTACAGACCTCGAAAGGACTACAACCCATATAAATCGTACTAGGTTCCATTGAAAGCATTTGACTGATTTTTAGACCACAAATTAATCCGAGTAGTACAAGCACCATGATCAATCAAGCTGTAGCTAGCTTGGTAGGTGCCATTGGAATGCATCTGACTAATTTTCTGATCACCAATTATTTTTGGTACTATGATACGATGAAAACACCATTATTAATCGAGCTGCAGCTTGGTAGGTGCCTTGGGAACGCACCCGACTCGGTTTTAGATCATCAATTATTTGTCCTCGTACGGCACCTAGCATGATTGCTCCCACCCGATAAGCCACTTGTTCTTTATACGTACTCCCTATATTTCTAAATATAAGCTTTTTAGAGATTTCAATACGGACTACATATGGAGTAAAATAAGTAAAAGAACTTATATTTAGAAATACAGGGAGTAGTTACTAAGATTGAAGACGGTTGTGGCTCTCTTGCTGCCATCATGTGAAGAATTGCTACTGAGATCGTGCCAAAAATGAGTGGACAGATTAATTAGCAGCAACAACTACACATGGATCATGTGTTTTGATCACATATGGTTTTTACTACCATGTTATTATTGTGTATATAAGACACTCAAGGGCATCCTTCTCCCTCTTGGGGGCATTGTTGAAGAGTCTCTGCTCGGAGTGGGAGCAGTGGTGGTGGCAGTTGGCTTGGCTGGATCATGTTCCATGATTTGGTGGTGCGGTTGAGTATCGGTCTGGTCAAAAGTTGTATGGTCGACAGGGATCGATGCCGGAGACAATGGTGCCCACGGGCGCCGTTTCGCTTCTTGAAAGCATTTCTGAAGACCTTGCTCTCAATCTCTTTGTATGGTCATCATGTTACATGGTGGTGGGCGTCGGTGTTGAGTTGTTATTTTTCTTCTTCTTATTTTTCTTATTGCCGTTGTGGTTTTCGGTCTAGTTTTCCTTATAAACCGAGTCACTCTGATTTTTTTTGCGTTTTCCTATCTATATGAATATGCAGGAATACCCTGCCATAGGATAAGCTTTTGGCAAAGAAAAAGCACAAAGTAAAAAAATCTTGATCGACTTAGATTTATGTGGATGTCTAGATATGTATGCAAATCATTTGGTACACGGGAGGGGGGAGGGCAGTAGACCAAACGATCCCCACTACTATGTGGGCAACGAATGGTGGCGCTGGATATCATATCACTTTATGACAATGATTAGAGCATCTACAACTGGACCCCACATATCATTGATATACGATTGGGCGGACAACCTAGTCACTGCCCAAACATGAGAGAGAGTTAAAAAGGTGACTGAACCGGACCATCAATTTTCGTCTCCATACTTCTGGGTTGTCCGCAAATCCTCATGTCCAAACCTTATATGGTGAGGTTATGAGGGCTCATGAACGCGCCCGGTTGTTCTGCCATGAAGGACACAACCCACTTTGGGCCACGTTTTCCTTTCTTTCTTTTCTTTCGCTCTATATCTCCACCACCACATGCGTGTGACCGGAAATATAAGGGACAAAATGAGGATCATAGCTTCATGCATGGATAAATAGGGGCTCAAAACGGACATGCTCGGACATTGACCGGACGCGCCCGCTGACGTTGAAGCGACCAAATTTGCTATCCAGCTATAGACTTCGTCAGTTTCATAATAACTGACAGCCCTGGATATCCACACACAACGGTAGTATTCTCTCCGTTTTTATTTACACCGCATATTAGCTTTGACTGAAACCAAACTTTATAAAGTTTGATCAAATTTGTAGAGAACAATATGAATATTCACCGCAAATAATTTATATGATGTGAAAATATATGTAATGATGAATCCAATAATATATATTTGCTGGTGTATATGTTGATATATTGTTCTACAAACTTGTTGAACGTATATAAGTTGGACTTTAGACAAACCTAATATGAGGAGTAACTAAAAACGGAGGGAGCATATAGGACATAAGCATTTAATAGTGTTTGATTGTGGACATCATCACAACCATCTCCCAGCTCCCGTCGGTAGAGAGCCCATCTGTATTGGACCATGATGTACAAGTGGAGGGGGACATCCAAATAAATGCCCAAGCCACCAGCCAACTATGCGTGCACGGAAAGGTACAAAAGATGTACAACAAGGTTTAGTCTAGCCTTCTTCGTTGGATAGAAACATTTTCATCCCTTTCCCCTCCCCACGTCGCACTCTAGCGACCACGTGTAACCGTAGCTCGCCACCACCCTCCCCTCCTTTTTTTTCAGAAAACTTTCAATCTATTCATCTTCAAGCTTGATAGTATAATGGACACCAGAAATAATAAAAGATACATTCAGATCCGTAGACAATCTAGCGACGACTACAAACACTTATACGAGCCAAAGACGCGCTGCCGTCATTGCCCCTCCCTCACCGGAGCCGGGCAACACTTGTTGTAGATAGTCGGGAAGCCGTCGTGCTAAAGCTTCATAGGACAAGCTCAACAGAACAACAACCGCCACCGATGAATAGTATCGTAGATCGGAAGGATCCAACGTGAAGAAACACAAACGTTGTTGTGACTAGAGAGGACCAGGTCAGAGCAAATCCACGAAGGATATATCTGCCGCAGACACACCTCCACATGCCCACCCGACGATACTAGACACACCACTGGGACATGGGATAGGCGGGGAGAACCTTATTCTATCTTCAGGGAGCCGCCGCTGTCTTGTCTTCCTGAGCATGACACAAACCCTAACAGTCTTGAAGGAACATATAAAAATAGAGACCTCCCATCCTCACGGGCCAGGATCCACCGCATTACCATGGCCGTTAGGCTACCGGAGACGAGGCGGACCGGTGGCGGCGCCGGCGGGAGACAGAGGAACCCTAAGCTTTTCATGGGGGAGGAGGCTCTGTTTTTGTTGAAAGTGGTGGATCTCATAGGTAGCCGAGACAGAGGAACCCCTCTCCTCTTGGTCCTACCCCGTCGCCGTCCCAGTGAGGAACCGTCGGGCAATGCATGCTCGCATAGGTAGCCGTGGGACCCGTTTCATCTCTGCTCTGTCCATGGGCTGGCGTGGGACGACTCCAGGGGTTGAGGCGTTGGGTTGCCATTGGGCCCATTGAAGGGACAACAATCATGCAGGGCAGTGTCGTCCTTGCCTCGCGACGGTGCGGCGGGGACCTAATGCTGAATAGTGGTGCGGCTGCTGCGAGGAACGCCTCCTTGGTGGATGTGTGTTGGCCGGCCTCCAAACAGATCATGTGCGATTTTCTGTTCGGTCTTCGGTTCCTCCGTTTTTATGCCCACCCCTCTGTTTGCTCGGACTCGGCAGCAACGACGCTTCACGCTGTCACGCTTTCGTTGGCGTCTTGTGGAGCCCATGCATGCTCGGTAAGGCATTAGTGAGGTGTTAGTCTTGTTCTAGGCTTCATGCATGTTGTATCTTTGAATATGCTTTGTAAGAGGATTTTCTCACCATGTTGTATCTTTATGTCGTATACTTTGGTGTGTTGCTTTATATATAAAGCGACGGAAAGCCTGTTTTGGGACTCTTCTTCGTTGCGCGCACATATGAGTAATGCCTAAAGCCACCCTACACATGAGATCCGACGGCATGGAGAGGGGGACACGGCTTTTTCTGTTCTTGGCAATATGTGTGTCATTTATATAATAACAAACACCGATCTGAAAAAATTGGAAAGACTATAGAACTCTAGCCTTTGCATATAAAGGACAAGCCAAGAAAGGAAAACATAATCCATACCAAAGAATCTTCGGAACTTGACGTCAACGTTTGTCACCAGCCTCCAGAACCACCGCAGCAGCCACCAAAATAAAAGGCGACATACCACATATCCAATCAAGCACGATGTGGCTCGATCGCAGATATGCGGATTTTACGGACATTCAAAGTAGCTTACTAAAGGAGAAAACCACTGCCATTGAGAAGATCTGGCAAGCCCAACACCTTAGACATGGCATCGAACATCAGACCTGACATCTCCGCTGGATGATGATGTCAGATAAGGAGATCTTATTTCAGCCGCAAACCATGAACCCAACACATGATCCATCGTCTTCCAGTTGTATTCCATGTAGACCACTATGATTCTACTCTTGCACTATTTCCCAAGCTCCATGCCAATGATGGAGTAAACACCGTCGCAATGCTGGAGCCTGGGGACACGAGTTCATTATAAGGATGCCGTCGCCGCCACACCATCTCCTCCTGAACAGACTAGCAACCAGACCCAACATCCACCAACAAGCAGTCCTAAAACCTAAAGCTACATCATCACTAGCTGCACCCCGGGGCACCAAATCCTCACTCTTATATGTACCCATTCGCTAGCGCTGGCCACACATGCACACTGGAGTACGGGACTAACCAAGTAAAGCACGCCAGCCTAGCTAGCTAGCCCATGGCCCCCCTCCCCGCCCTCTTGCTCGCGTCGGCTCTCCTCCTTGCTGGTTCGGCCTTGTTCAACCGCTACGACGCCGGAAGCAGCGGCACAACCACCACCACGCATCTGCATTTCTATATGCATGATGATTACACTGGCCTGCGCCCCACAGCGATGCGCATCGTGTCCGGGCGGTCCCTTGGCATGCCGGCCGTGAGCGACAACACCAACAGTACGGTGCCATCCACAAGCGCACCACGGCAGTTCGGTGACATCGTGGCGCTGAACAACGCGCTGACGGAGGGCCCTGGCTGCGGCAGCGCATGGGTGGGCACGGCCCAGGGTTTCGCTGTGCGCGTGTCAGAGGGCGGCGTTGTCTCTGACCTCAGCATGCACCTTGTGCTGGGCGCCGGCGATTACAGTGGCAGTTCGCTGGCGGTGAAGGGGCGCATCGACATGGAACTGGCGGTGCGCGAGTCGATGATTATCGGCGGCACTGGCCAGTTCCGATTGGCGCGGGGGTACATGCTCAGCAAGAGTTACGACTACAGCCTCGCCGCGGGCGGCATCGTGGAGATTGACCTCTACGTGCAGGTGCAGCACGACTAGCTAGCCGCATCGTCGGTTACCGTCGTCTATTTATTTGTTTTGCTCTGATTACCTTTGGTCGTGGAGATTGACTTCTACGTGCAGGTGCAGTTCCTAGTTTTCTACCGTGTTTGTTTTGTTACCGTCAGTATGTTTACACCACAGTTGGTAATAATAAAATGCATTGTTCAAGAAATATTCCGATTCAACGATTTCGTTCGATTTATCGCTATCCATGTGGTGACCGATAAGATTATGGCTTATCTTCACCATTTATTATTTGGGCCGATTTATCACTTTCACAAACGATTTAACAGGAATCTACTGATAAATCGGGCCTAATCCTAACATTATGTTTGCAAAAATAATGTTTATTTGTGTTTTGTGGACCTTATTTTGAAAGAGGTACTATTGTCCTATTCTTTTATCATTATAATAGAATTCAAAGGCTAGGAATCAAGGTGACACTTCTGTCCAATATTGTTTTGGTGTTGAATATAGCATATTTTAGTGTTGGGAACATGGGATTTGCAAAAGATGACTGATTAATAGTCGATCAATAAAATCAATTAATCGGCTGATTTCCAATTAATCTCTAATCTCCAACGATAAGACAACGTTGATAAAATGGTTTTGTCGTCCGAGGTGAAAAATGTAGTGATATTTGGGTTTGCTTCAGCCAGCCCAGCAGTCTAGCTACCTATTTTACTTGACACAGAGCTGGACCTTAATACATTATACTACACTACATTGCATCATCAAGATTCGAGGGACACTGGCTCCCTATAACGACCAGTGACGGATCTAGGGATGGGGTTGTGGGGGCCATGCCTCCACAAACAATTTGCAGACTCTTCTCTTTGTGGAAAAGTATGAGTGCGTCAGCTGTTATACGGCAGCAAGTTGGGCATGTTTGTTAGCTCTCAGTCTTACTCGCTGACCACTCATCTAACATATCATCATTCAAAGAGAAAATATATTTTGTATTATCTAAAACAAGACCATATACACAATTATACATTGATTACAATTATACATTGATCGGTTATATATGTACGAATCACCGTTCTGTATACTTTAGAGCATCTCCAACAGTGGCAATAAAAAACGCGCGCGGGGGGCGGATTCGCGCGCTGCAGCAGTTGCGGAAAATTCAGGCGCGCGGGAAAGGATCGCACGCGCGCGAAAAAGCGGCCGGGCGCTCACTAGTTTTGGCGCGCGGCGTCTGGCTTGCGCTATAAAACCCAGCGCCCGCCATGAGCCCTCCCACCGATGTTCTCCTCGCCACGCGCACTCTCCCCGCTCATTCTCACCTCCGCCTCTGCCGCCGCATCGCCGGGGAACTTCAGGCTACCGCGGCGTCTATGCGCGCCCTCCAGAACATACTCCACCGAGTTCCGGTTCGGCTATATGCGCCTCGGCCTTGGCACCTTTGACACCGCTCACGAGGCCGCCCGCGCATACGACGCAGCGGCATGGCGTCTCCGGCGGCCTCGTAGGGACATGAACTTCCCCGAGGTTGCTACGCTGGAGCGGACGCGCGAGCTCGCGCCTCCCCCGCGGCTTATCACCGACGAGAATCGTCGCGACAACCGGAGGCGCCAGCTCCATCTTGGCGATACCGATATGGATGAGGAAGCCATGACGCAGTGGCGCCGACGCTTCCCGCAGGACATCATCAACGAGCGCAAGTTCTACGCGCAAAGGAGGGCGGAGCGAGCCGCCTATCACGAGGACAGGCGTATGCGGAAAGCGGCCGCTCAATTCAACATCGAGGTAGGAACAACGTCGACCTGGGACTCGGACGACGATCGTATCTTGACGCCTTCATTGAGACGTCGGAGGAGGACATCACCGAAGCGGAGTCGGAGTAGGAGCCGGAGGAGTAGGAGGACGACGACGACGAGTAGTAATCGTAGTTGGGGTAGATGAACTATCTATGTTGAACTAGCTACGTATCTTTTTTTATTATGTATCGTTTTATCTATGTATGATTTTAATCTACCTATGTCATCTTTTTTTGCATACATATGTGTATCGCACGATGTATTTTGAGCGCTTCTGCTGGAGCAGCGCGCACGCGCAAATTTTTGCGGCGGCCGCTGGAGTCAGCGCTCTACAGCACGCGAAAAGTTGTTATTTTCGAACACATGGATAGAAGACTGCCTAAACATGTGATGGCGGCAAAATTGTACTCCCTCCGTCCGGAAATACTTGTCATCAAACTAGATAAAAGAAGATGTATCTAGATGTATTTTAGTTTTAGATACATCCTTTTTTATTTATTTTGATGACAAGTATTTTTGGATGGAGGGAGTACTCTACTCTAATATCTCTTTCTGTATTATATCTGTGAAATGTTTTCAAATGAGAAATAAATGCGAAAGCCTGTCTGAATGGGAGTGTGATGTACAAGTGGCAATAATTCTTGATGAAGGGGGCATCCAAATAAATGCGAAAGCCACCAGAGCCAACTATTCATGCACGGAAAGGTACGAAACACGTACTACAACAAGGTTTAATTAGTGTAGCCTTCTTCATTTGATGGAAGGATTACCATCGCTTTCCCCTCCCCACGTCGCAGTCGTGGGCAACCGTAGCTCGCCACCACCCTCCCCTCTCCTCCTGGTCCTCCTCCCTCGCCATCCCAGTGAGGAACCGCCAGCAATGCCGCTAGGCGTAGGTTGCGGTGAGACCGTTTTCCTCTCCGCTCAATCCACAGGTGGAGGTGCTGTGTTGGCATGGGGCCTAATGGCGGGACAACGATCATGCGGGGCGATGTCGTCCTTGCCCGGCGGCGACCAGAAGCTCAATGGTGGTGCCGTCGCTGCGAGGAACTCCCAGGATGTGTGTTCTTATCTTATAGATACTCCCTTTGTACACTAACGTAAGACGTTCTTAACTGCAAAAACGTCTTATATTAGTGCACAAAGGTAGTATTACTTACATATTAATTTGAAGATGCTGACAATTACATACGACGTTGAACAAAGCAACCTTGTATTTTTATTATTATTTTTGCGGGAAAAACTTTACAATCTATTCCTCCTCAATAATGGTAGTATAATGAATCGTATAAATAATTAAAATTACATCCAGACCCGTGACCACCTAGCGATGACTACAAAAAATGAAGCGAGCCGTAGGCACGCCGCTGTCATCGCGCCTCCCTTGCTGGAGCCGGCAAACCTTGTTGTTTTAGACAGTCGGAAATTCGTCGTGCTAAGGCCTCGTAGAACTAACACACCAAAACAGTAACCGCCGACGATGAAGAGTGTAGATCAGAAAAATCCAACATAAAGACACAAGACCATGGACGAACGACAAACAGATCCAAGCAAATCCAGTAAAGCCAGATCCGCCGACGACACACATCCACACGCCCACCAACGATGCTAGACGCATCAATGGAACGGGGACTAGACAGGGAGACGTTTATTCCATCTTCAGGGAGCCGCCGTCGTCTCGCCTTCCTGAGCAAGATAAAAACCCTAACAAAAGTTGAAAAAAGATCTAAAAACAGTGCCCTCCCAACGGCAAGGGCCACGATCCACTCCACCCCCATAGCCCTAAGGCCACCGAAGACAGGGTGGACCGGCGCCGGCGCCGGCGGGAGGCGGAGGAACCCTAGCTTTTTGGGGGTGTTCTTCACCCTAGCCTAGCAACCTTGTATCTCATTGCAAAGAACCTGCAGTGATGTAGACTCCACAAGCTAGAAGCCAGAAACTATTTGGATGATTGAACCTACAGAGATTATATTCTATCACATGTAACCAGTTATTGAACATATTAGCAACACTACATGGAGGATATAAGCCAAAAGCTACTTGGATGATTGACCAGTCAATTTACACTGGAAGAACAAGTGTTTAATTGTTTTTTCGTGATGACAAAACATACATTGCATACTTCGATGCCAATTCCGCTTAATAAAGTGATCTTTGGCCAGAATGACTTCTCGCAGAATGAAATGATGGAAAGGCTCTAATATTGTGTCTAATTTCCTATTTAAATTATTTCTGAGTTTCAAAGGAGGAGAAAATGTAAAGTAATAAATCAAAAGGTTATTAAAAACCACTGAAAATTATGTGACCCCTATATATATAAGTTGTTGTAGAATTTTCAAATGACGACATAGACAACTTCGAAACAAGAAATGAAGTAAGGCTTCTATCACTTGTCGATAATTCTATTTCAACAAGTTTTTAGTTTCAACAAAATAGAAAATCTATCATGATGGATCAAAACGGTTAAAAATGTACCAAAATATCATATTTCTATAGGTAAGTTGCTATATGAGGTGCGTATAGATGCATGGACAACCCACGGAGCATGAAATGGTGGAAACGATTTCGGAATATGTCGAAAACGCTTAATTAATAAGGTTTCAGTTTTGAACAAAGTGAAAATCTATAGTGATGGATAAAAAGGGGAAAAATTGGTGATAAAATTATATGATTACTAGTTATAAGCTGTTATATGAGATCCATATGGTCGAATATACTACTTCCGAAGCTTGAAAGGAATAAATACTGGTGGAATGTCTAAATGATGCTATTTAAGTAAGTTTTCTGTTTAGCGAATAAAAAATCGTCGGTAACGGATCAAAAGTTTATGTAAAGGTGCTAAACATGAAAATTTATGTGCATAAGCTGTTCTATGACTTCCACATGGCAGTCGAGACTACTCTCGAAAAATGAAATGATGGAAAGGTTGTTCCAATCTGTCTAATGTCCTATTTAAATGATTGCTGAGTTTCAAAGGAGGAGAAAATGTAAAATAATAAATCAAGAGGTTATGAAATACCACTAAAAATTATGTGACTCCTACATATATAAGTTGTTGTAGGATTTTCAAATGGCGGCATAAACAACTTCGAAACAAGAAACGAAGCAAGGCTTCTATCACTTGTCGATAATGCTATTTAAACAAGTTTGCAGTTTCGCCAAAATAGAAAATCTACCATGATGAATCAAAATGGTTAGAAATGTACCAAATTATCCGATTTCTATAGGTTAGTT